GGTCAGAGGTCCAGCAGGGAGTCAAGGCCGTGAGAGTTATTTGGGGATGGAAGAGCCAATGGGCAGCCTGCCTGCAGCTGACCTCATACTTGGTGTGGATGTTAGGAGAGCGACAGTTGAACATCGTTTTAGGGGTGTTGGCCTCATCCTCCCTCCCTTCCCCTCTCTCTCTCTCTCTCTCTCTCTCTCTCTATCTTTTGAGTGTGTGAAGTAAGTGCAGTCCTGAGTCAGCTGTCTCCCATCACTCAGCCCAGAAGTGCAGTCTGATTCATGCCAGAAATTTTAAAACCCTCGATCAGAGCTGCTCCTCTCTCTCTCTCTCTCTCTCTCTCTCTCACCGCTCCTCGGTGTTTCAGAGGCCGAGCAGACGGTCGTACGGACGACAAACAGATTTAAACACGTCATAAAGAAAACATTAAAGTCTGGTTTCAGGGAAATGAAACTTGAAAAATGAACAATAACTTTCAACTGTAAAGGTAAAAGCTAAGAAAAAGTTTCACACTGAAATTTGAGGATTTTAGAATCCAGAGATTTAGGTTTCTAAGAACTGGACGTTGTCCTCTGTCCAGCGGCTAGGTTGAAAGTTACATTTGAATTGTTTTATTTTTAAATGATGCGTAAAAAAACAAAGTCTGGAAAACAAGTAATTCTTAAACATTTGAATTGTTTTATTTTGAAATGATGTGTAAAAAACCAAAGTCTGGAAAACAAGTAATTCTTAAAAATAGATAAAATAGATTTTAAAACACATTTCATGTGTAAATTCCACCTGTGTGAGGTTTAAAATACAGTCCAATCACAGGCTTTGCCTCATGTCATGCCTTACCATCTATTTTCCTCTAAATGGGATCACAACTTTTCACAATAGAAAGCATAGTTTTATTCTAAAAGACTTGAAAACCATCACTGACTTTTGTCTTTTTTATTATTGTGAACTAACTTTACAGTTACAGACGACAACGTTTTCTTCTTGTGTAAATATGGAGGGTACAAACCCTAAATAATTCTAACAAACTGCCCCTTTTTCTAGACAGAACTATAGCTAGCCTCGACGTTAACACATTCAAACAAGTGCGAGTAGAAAGTTCCAGAACTGATGTCATATTTCCGGTGTCTGATTTGAATCGTTAAAACCCGTTGAGACGCCTGTCTCTCTCTCTCTCTCTCTCTCTCTCTGGGTCTCGACAACTTTGTTATAACATATATTTACGACTGTGTTTCATTTTCAAGTGTTGTACAAAGCTTTTCTACGTTAGCGTCATAGCTTTATTGAGCTTTATTTTCGCCGCTACTTTATTCCCTAACGAGGCCGTTAAACCGTCTGCCTCTTTGGTATCGAGGCTAACGCCGACGATGCTAAACTACGGCTCCCTCCTCTTCACCTCCTCCTAGAGCTCTGAAGGATCTGAAGGATCTGAAGGATCTTTATATTCACGGCTTCAGACGTCGTCGATTCCTGTCATAAATCTGCACACGGCTCCACAGGTTCCTTGAAGGGAACGTGTTTTGCTCCTGGAGGTAAAGTTGTCGGCCACTCCTCTCTCCATGTCAGACCTACTTCCATCCTCCAGAGTTTATATTCATCCAGGAATATTGATTAGATGGTTTAAACCTTTCAGTACGGCCTAATATATATATATATATTTATATATATTTTTACTGGGCTGCAGTCCATCATTCTTTCCTCCATCCTGCTCCACTCCTCCCTCATGGTCCATAATACTCCGGTGGAGATGATGGTATTAAAGAGACTTGATGGACTGGGACTCTGGCGGCGGCAGCAGCAGGAACTCACTGTATTACTTAGCTTTTATGTGTACAGGCAAATTGTTATGACTACTCACTGCATGCAGTGGGAGTCGTGGGTTGGGTATTTATCTAGTATTGTATCCGTTGATGGTATTTGCCCCGCCCGCCCCCAGTGAAACGGACAACAGTAAAAGTATTTATGGAGCACTACACTGATTGGATGGCACCGCTCCTGCCTTTTCACTCTTATCATCCCCGCGAACCGGCTCGTACCGAAGACACCGAGTATCGCCGTTGGTTGCACGTAAAATACGATGGTGGTTCTCAAACTGGGGTACGCATACCGCTCGTAGTACTTGGTGGAATGAGATTCCCATCAGGATTAGATGAGTTCATATGTTCATATAGACCAAATTTGTTTGAACATGCTTTGCCTCAGTGGACTTTTCAGATTTGACATGAAAATAAAACACATCCCTAAAAAAACAACATAAATATAGTGAGTATTGGATCTCAATTTAAAAAAATAAAACACCCTCCCTAAAAAAATAACATATATATATAGTGAGTATTGGATCTCAATTTAACTTTGATAAAATTCAGCAAAATGTTTCGCAATAAATACAGAAAATCTAAATCTTATGTAGCTTCTGATAGGTCTAACCTCACCTTTTTAGTGAATGCATTGCAGATGCGCATCTCCACCAACTGTAATGTGATGAAATACTACCCCCTGCTGGCTATTTCCGACATTGCACCTACATTTCCAAAGTTCCAAAATTTGGCCCAAGCTTAAATTGTAATTTCTGGGTTTTTTTTTTTTATCCTTAACCTTAACTGACAGATACATACTTGTATATTTATATGACCTAGACAACACTAACATAAATATATTAATATATATATTTGTTACTATGATGAAGTGTCATCTTTGAAAAGATCACAAACAAATTACTCAAACAACACTGTGTATGTTTATTTTAATTTTTTTCTGAATGTTTGAAAACTGATTCAACCATTTAAGAATAAAACAACATTATTTAAAACAGCGGGAAAAATCATAGAAAAACATTCAGGTGAATTTAAAAAATATATACATTAAAACTATACATATACACAAACACACACACACATATATACAATGTCAAAGTAAAACCAGGGGGATCCAAAGGTCTGAGTCCAAAATAATAATCATTAAAAAAATCTTACAAAAAACTTTTCTACTTTCAACTCTTTCTATGCTTCTTACTTCTTATATATTCCTACATTTATTTCAACTTTTGAATATTAGCAGACATCAACTTTAGACAGAGAGGAGTGACACTGGTCCACAGAGGAACATAGTCATCAAAAAAAAAAAAAAAAAACTAACAAAAATATTAGCTGGAACTTTTTCCAAGATAAACAGCTCCAATCCTCAGGGAGCCTTTTTTTTAACAGGACTGGACTCAGGCTCCTGGATCCCACTGTATGTGTGTGTGTTTATTTATCTGTATAATACTGATGTATATATATATATACACACACATACATGTATATTCTGTGGTCCATGTACATGGTACCAAAATTAAGAACAAAAACTGCAAGAATTTCTATGACGAAAAAAGGTGTCCTGGATATGATGCCCCCTAGTGGCCATTTGGAAGAGCCCGTGAACCCACAGGCCTTCACTTAATGAAGTAATACACAACAGTAGTAAAAAAAACAACCACACACACAATCGAAAAAGAACAAGGTGTACTGCAGTACTTAAAGTTGTTTTTTGACATCAGTGGGTTTCAGCGGGAAAGTAGAAAAGTGCAGAGATTTTGTGGGATTGAAGGAGTCGCCACACTCGGGTCACGTCACGCTCATGGAAAACAGAGATGGCTAATCCATATGGACGGGGGTTCAATTCTACTGCTGGTTAGAACGTTCTCTGAAGTCTGTACACGTGATAAACTGTGCAGTACACGGACACTTGGTGTTTTTCTTTAAAAATGTTTAACTTTGGACAAATTTGACTGTTGGATTTCGATGGTTAATTTAGTGTGAAGAGTTAGCCTAATCCTGCATGTTTTGAGACGGTGGGAGGAGAACCACCGTCAATAACAAATGTTGACAAAACTTGCTGTAAGACAGGGGGTGTCAAACCCCTGGCCACGGGTCCAATTCGGGCCCGCAAATCCCCGACATGTGGCCAAAGAAGAACGAGACGTTAACTTTTATTTTGAGCCTGAAGCTAGTTGTTCAAATATTTTATTTGTTGAATTGATTGTGTTTGGTATAATTTGGTTTGTGATTTTCAGTTCTACGACAGTTACAGTTCTTATCTTCAACAGAAACTTCCTTCAAAAATGTCTTTGGTTATTTTGTATTCAAACATCAAACACTGACATGACCATCCAATTAAACGTCTGGGGGGAGGAGGGGGGGCAGCAGTGGTGGCCCCCAGCTCATTTGGGGTTAACACCCCTGCAGTTCAACCACTCTGCCAGAAGGTGGCAGTGGCACAACAATGGACTTTTAATTCTCTCTTCCCTTTCACCAATTGGGAGGAGCCGATCCCAGCAAACATCAGGTGAGGTCAGGTTAGACCCTGGACTGTTCTCCAGTCCGCCAACAGGCCACCGGTAGAGACAAACATTCACACCACGTTCACACCTACGGTCAAATCAGAGTGAACCATGGTCCTATGTTTTTAGACTGGTTATGAAAACCAGTGACACATGAATATGAACAAGAAAAAAAAAAAAAGGATGAAAACCAGTGACACAGATGAACATGAACAAGAAAAAAAAAAAGAAAACTCTAAATCAAGAACCAGTAATAAAGGACTTCTTCACCACAATCACCACAAACGCCACCGTGTGGCCATTAGAGGGAAATATTTCAAAGTGATAATGAAGATAATTACTGCAGCAGTTCAATTTCTGGAGGTTGCTTGGTCTTCACTCTGAGCTCACTTGGTCATCACTCGTGATCACCTGGAGGTTGCTTGGTCTTCACTCTGAGCTCACTTGGTCATCACTTGAGAAAGAGTAAAATAAAATACATGTTGTTTATGTATGAATTAAAGAAATGATAAATAACTGTATCTTGTTTTTTAGTAGTAGTATTTGTGTTATTAGGATGTTAATGGAGTTCCATCTACTCTTTTTTTTGTTTTGTGTATTAATGTATTTTGTGCATCAACAGAATGTGTCTAGATTGTGATTGTAGACGTGTGCGCTCTGATCCTATTTACCCATCAGGCTTTGCTCCCTTTCACTCACTGCTTCAGTTTCTGTCACATTCACTCAGCAGCATCTGCTCCACTTTGAACAGAGGAGACAGGCTCCGGCCACGGTCCGATCGTTTGGTTTTCCTTCTCCGACTCGCGCGGCTGCTCCAGGTTTGTGCTTCTCTTCTCTTCATGTCACTCAGTTCTACACCACCTCCGTCTTGATCTCCATCGGTTCTCCATTTTTACTGCCGCCGTGTTCCACTGCGACGCCCACTCCGTTCTTCCAGGCTTTTTCGTCCGTCTCGAAGCTCTTCTCCTCCAGGGGTTTGCTGATCCAGGAGCCGTAGCCCTGGGCCTGGAGGCTTTGGAAGAAACGCTGCCTCGCGCGCTGGAAGGACACGGCGGACATTTTGGCCTGTGCGTAGCAGGGCACGGAGCGGAGGTCCGCGCGGCCGCACCGCTCGCACAGAGAGCGGAAGAGACTGAACAGGTTGTGTTTGGAGACGCGGGAAATCCCCATTTTGTTTCTGCGAGTGAGACACAAAAATTCTTTAACTGGATGAGACAGACATGGAAATACGGGCGGTTCTGGTGGTTCTCAAACTATGGAATGCGTACCGGCGGTGGCGCCATCTTGTGGCATTAGGTTTTAGTGAGTGAAAATATGAGTTGTTGAATTCAGTAGATACATATTTCATCTGCTCAGTGTGTGTTCCTGGTATATCTATACTTGTGGGGACATGTATTGGTACCACCTCAATGCTGTGAGGACACTGCCCTCATGAGGACGTTTTGCAGGTTCTCACTGAGTGAGTGGGTAATTTGAGGTTTAGTTTGGATTTTTTTGTTAGGTGCTATTATTAGTTTTGCTAATATAAAATACTCCTCTCTGCTTAGGCCTGTGTTCCAATACTGATGGTACTTTGAGAGTCAAATATTCTCAGCATCAGTACTCGGTGTAAAACATTCAAGTACCACCGCGTTGGACTTTTCCTCCGACTTCCGTTGACCTCTGTGTCTACCGAACACCTACGTACCCGTCCTGTTTGCCCTTGGTCCCGTCCAGCACCTCCACACTCTGCTGGTCTGGAAGGCTCCAGTTCACACTGGACTCTTTGGTCTTCCCTGTGTGACGTGTGGAGTCGTACACACTTACCCTGCCCACCTTAGTCACCACAAGGTGGCGTGGATTCAAAGAGTGGGGAAAAAAAAGAAAGAACATTTGTTTAAGTTAGTTTAAGAACAGATGTGACAAAAATTTAAAAGTTTAGAGATTGGTGATTGATTGATTTAAGTATAAAGTGTCTGTCACTGTGCAGTACTTGTAGGCTGAGATATAATCAGGTTTATCAGTAAAAACAAACATCCTCACCTCTGGGTGGTTTAATGTAAAGGGAGGAGGGAGACTCTGGAAGAAGGATTCACCGTCTCTGGCCAGCCGACAGCAGACCGCTCTGGTCAGGTGACCGTGGCTGTACAGATATCCTGTCAGATCAGAACAGCGACAACGATTAATGAGCTGAAAGGTGAGACCGGACACAGACTCTCCGCTTCCTGACAGACTGCAGCTAACGATACAAAGCTGGGGTCAAAACGTTTTAGGACGGATGTGGTGTTTTGTTTTGTCACTGTATCTTGAAAACCCTGCTAAAATACTGAAGGTTCATTTCACTCCCACTCCTGGTGATGTCATCTAACTTCCACAGCAAGGCAGCCAAGAGTCTGGAATTGAACCCTCAACCCAGCAGGTGTAACGCTACATCATGAGCTACAGCCTCTCCAATCTGTTTTTAACACATTTGTCTTCAACTACAGAAAACTGCAGGTTTTTACCAAGCGTGATGGACTTCAGATAGATAGGATGCAAAAAATGGCTCAGTAGCGCCCCCTGGAGTCCCAGTACGTTCCAGCGCAGGATCTTGTCGCTGCAACTCATAGTCCGCAGCCTCTCTCCGTGCTGGATGCCATCCCATGTGGGCACGATGGCGCTGGACTCTACAGGGATGGTGCCCTCTCCTGGCACAACCAAAGACCAACACAACCAAAGTCAAACAGTTTCTTTGAAACAAAAAGATGGAACGGACTTTCACTGTTTCCTCACCATTCTCCACTTTGGTTCGAAGCTTTCCCTGCTTGGCGTTCTCAAACAGCGGCTGGTGACCTCCGACCTCATCCCCGGTCTCACTGCAGGATTTGTCAAACAGAGCGCCGTCTCCACAGGGTGCTGTGCTGTGGATCAAAGAGAGGGGCGGGGGGCGGAGACAGTCAGGGCAACACAACAGACAAGGGTCTACATTTGTTTCATGACCTGTGTGACCAGAGGAGAGAAGGGGTGAGTCGAGGTGAAAGCAAAAACAGACGACACTCCCTCACCTGATGTAGAGGTGAAAAGTGATGTCAGATTTGATCTGCAGTTTGTTTTCCAGCCCAGGCTCAAATATACCGTCGTCTGTGCCGTCGTGGTACTTGAGCAGCTCACTGTACAGAAACCTGAGAGGAAAAGGAAGCATTGAGCGAAACGCACAAACCACGTCCGACAATCTGGCACTCGGCACAGACGTTTGTATTCTTAGATTTGGGGAAAAAAAAAAGAAGAGTGGATTCTATTTGTACCGAAGAAATCCTCTCCTGGCGATTATTTCGGCGTGGCAGTCATTCACAGTCTCACCCTTCAGGCTCAACTCCTCCCCTTTAACGCAGCGATTTCCTACAGAACATTAGTCAAAACATTAGTTTGTTTTTATTTCATTCTATCACTCACATCACACAGACTTTCTTCATTTCTCAAAACTTTAATCAGGAAATAACAAACCAGTTCCCAGGCTGACAACAGTGCCCAGGCCCTCCCCCTTCCTCATCACGATGGTGGCCAGGATCTTGCGTCCCAGAAGGCTGTGCTGGATACGTGTGGTCAAGGCGTTGAATCGCTGGTGACTCAACATGGCGATCTGGTCGTGCAAAGTGCTGCCACTCACTGGAAGCTGAAGGAAGGGAACGATCGGAAGTGATTGGTTACAAATTAATCGATTGAGATTTAAATGACATAAACCGACACCCTGGAGTCACGGTGAAGAACCGTGACAAACCAATGTTGATTAGTTGATTAAGAAGACACTAAATATCGACTTCTTCTTGCTGCTCTCCCCTCAGTTGGGATGAGCTCCCCCGTGCGAGCCGCCTTCTCAGCTTCTCCTATTAGAACTCTCAGAGCAGCATCTGCTGCCTCTTGTTTTCCCTGCTTTTTGTTGGACGCACAAACCGGAGGAAACCAGCGTCCACCGAGCTTGGCCTGGTAGGTGAACCTGAGCCGAGAGGAGGGAGAAAGAAAGCTCGTCAGAGACGCCAATGACCTTATTATTCAATGAAAATTGCTAAAAGACGTCCAACAATGGGACAAAGCAATTTCCTAGAACGGACTTCCCAAAAATATGAGCAAAGACTTGGATTGCTGCAACAGTTTTAGAGTTTTAGATGCATGTGTCAAAGAAACTCTGACTCTGCGTCAGCATCAGTTCCAGTTTGTCTCCGAGTTTCTTCTCTGCTGCTCCATAACTTTTTTTTGGCTGCAAACTTTATAACTAGTCGTTTAAACTCAGCTTTAACTTTTTGGTCGCATTTTATTTGTGTTCTTTGCAAAAGTCTTTATTGGAGTTTTTGGAGAACTTTTTACTGTTTTTATTTCTTCAAGTCTTTACTGTTTTAGTTGGGTGATTCTTCAGTCAGACACTAACAGTCGGCCTCAGCAAACATCAGTTGTAAGTCTTCTTGTTTCATCACTAGATTTTTTTTTTGTTTTTTTCTCAGTGTGTGTTTTTGTCCTTTTTTTTTCCATCTCAAACTTACTTGGGGTCATGTGGCGGACCTGCCTGGCCCACGAGCCGGATCTCCGCAGCAAAGCCTCTGGCTCTGGCGTACTCCAGGAGACCTGACACCGCGTTATTGTTCAGGTAGCTGATGAGGTCTCCTACACCGGCTTCGTGAGCCGCTCGCAGCTCGTCAGCTGTCAGCGGGGGCAGAGGTGTGCATGTGGCCCCGGCGCAACTGCCATCACTATTACTGGAAGTGCCGAGGGGCAACTGGGGCTGGAGGAGGAGAGAGAGAGATGTGAATGTTATCAAAGGAGGCGCCTCAGCACTGATCTCCACCGACTCTCTGAACGTTTTAAAAAGACACAAATGAACAACCACAGACACTGTCTGCTTCTCTTCACACCTTGTTGAGCTGCAGCTTCCCCTCGGCCATCAGTTCCTTGACGGCCTCCTCTGCTGCCAGCTGGCGCGCCGCCTTCTTACTGGGAGCCGAGGCCTCGGCAAAGAAACTCTCTCCGACCTTCACCCGGTACATGAACCTGAACATGGGAGAGAGACGGAGAAAAAAAGGATGAGAAAAGCAAAAGAGGAAGAACTGTTTTGGGCCAAGCGCTGCTGGTGGTGATGACGCTGCAGTTTGTGGAGAAACTATTCTAGATTCAAGACTTCTCAAATTTAGATAAATCAGCAGATGGCCGGGGTAACAGTAACACGAGAGCTTATGGTGAACAAAAATAGAAGTGCTGAAGTGTTTTTGGAAAGGATAAAAAAAAAAAACTAATTTGATTTGTACAGTATATCGCCACCGTTTGGCTGCCTGCTGTGATGGAGCGCACCAATAAAGCAGAAGAGGATATTGTGTCTCTGTCAGCTGACTACAGTACAGCATGAACTGAGTGTTTCATTATGTAATTACATCATCATTCTGTTGTGAGCTCACTTACCGGGGGTCATGTGGTGGGCCGGCCTGGCCAGTCATGATGAACTCAATAGGGTTCCCACTTCTTTGGCCGTACTCCATCAGGACAGACACCGGGTTTTTCCCACCGGGGAGGGAGCGGGAGATTGGCTGACGAGGTTCCTCAACCATCCCTTCCACACTACTTGACCCCAATATCTCCCCCATGCCTTCTTGTCCCCCCTGGTAGGCAGAAAAAAAAAAACAGAATAAAAATCAAAAAGAACCCAGTTAGTTGTATGTATGTATATAAACTGTATGTATCGTCCCACTTCTCAGGCTAATTAATGGTCAACAGCATTAAAACAAACAAAAAAA